GGATCACCTACCTGGCCTCATGCTCAGGGCAGGTCTAGAACTCACGGTCTCCAGTCCTTTTTAAATGTATTCTCTTTTTTTTTTTTTTGCTTTCAGGATAATGATCAAAAATGGAAAATAAAAAACCAAACCCCAAAACAAAAATATATACATTTTCAAAAGAAAAGAAACAACCCATATAGAAAATGCTTTTAAAAAGGTGTAAAAAGTACAACAAAAGAAAGAAAAAGATAAACTAATATATCATTTTAGCAATTCTATATACAATTTATACTCACACACACACACACATATTCACACACACACATTCACACTCTGTGTGTCACATTTAGTAGTTCATTAACATTTTTCTAATCTTGTGATCGAAGCTTTGCTTGGTTTGCAGAGTTAACACAAATGCCATTGATCTGTAAATGCTTAAATGTGCAGCTAACAAGGTTTCTATCTGCCAACCTATTTCATCCTAGCATTCTATGGAAACAATCTGGGTTCAATATGGTATGAACATTTTACCCTCCCCCATAACTATAGTCAAAGGCCAAAGGTACATTATTGCAATTATATTTAGACACAGTTTCTGAGGTAAGGTGCATTTGTTGGGCAACACTATGATTTGAAAGCTGGCTGCCAAAATTTCTTGAGGGAGCGCTGAGTGAAATACGTTTGCACAGCTCTCAAAATAGCCTGCAATAGTTTAAAATCACCAAAGAATAATTTCCTGTAGGGCATGTATGAACCAGCCCAAACTCAGAGCTTGGCTTTATCAACAACACATTCTACCTTAGCTGCTTATTCAAAAGCACATTAAGGTACAGAAAGGAAGCAGCTTAGTTGATTAAACATGTAGCAAAGTTACGCATGATGTCATTATCATCTTTAGAAAGCTTTGAGCTGGAAATATGGAGCTTAGTCCTCCTGCTTTGTTCACACAAAGCGGGTAAAGAGCACTCCTGTTTTTGTTGTGATCTTCAGATAATTATCTCTCAATGTAATTTTTGTTTATATATGAAGCTTTTTAACAAAAGTGTTTGCAAGCTATGATAAAAATAAAGATTGGGATCACAACCTTGGGATCATGTCTTATATCCATGCTGAAATATTGACAGAAGAATCACTCTTTTTAATACAGGCTTATAGTGCAATTCTATACTGGCTAGATTCTTCAGAAATATATTTCATTGATTTTAGTGGCTCTTACTTTTTTGGGATGTAAATTTAGATGAGAGCTTTATGAAGATTGTAACAGGTATCTACACACACACACACACACACACACACACACACACACACATTTTCTTGCCTCCACGCTTCCTGTTGCTGTAAAACTAAAGTTATGAACATAAGCATACATTGAATTATCTGGTGTGATAACTATACAAATTATTATCGTGTTATGGCTCTTAAGAAAACAACATTATTGTTTTAATCTCCCATGTTATTTGCTATGTATAATTTATTTGCTTTGAAAGATCAAAGTTTGAATACCACCAGAGGAAATGTATTATGATAATTTTCATTAATGATTATTAAGAATTTCTATATTTGATATAAATCTTTTTTGTATATTTTAAGTGATCATTGAAAATAGAGATCAGGAGCTAACTTTTAAACCAAATAGTTCCATACTGTGAATATACTTTAATTAGAAACAAGATTGCTTATTTAAATATCAACTTCTTTATACTTACTTTGATAACTATTAATTGAGGAAATAATCTTTTTTCTCTTTTAAATTTAATCGGTTATATTTGCCTTGAGAGTCAGTTTTTTATATATTAAGTTAACAAGAAAGAAGTTATTTCCTTCCTTCTTTCCTGATGAACTTTATTGGGGTTTCACTAAGGTCAAGGTTGGGCAAGAAATCAATATACCACCAAATTTTATTAATTAAAGGTTAATCTACATACCTATAATTATCAAATTTTGCAAGTTTGCATGTGCAGAGCAGACATCAAAGCCTGGAGTGAAGCTTGATGCCAATCATATTTTGTCCTTGCAAGCATGATTAGATGTGTAAAAAAATGTTATGCCCTTTCATGTTTTTTTGCTCACAACCTCCCTTGCCCTGGTTCATGATCAATAATTTGAAAATCTGAAGTTTAGTATGGGGCCAGTTTCATATAGCAATTAAAGCACCAAGCTAGAAACCAGGAGACTGGATGTCCTATTCCTTTCCTTGGCAGGAAAGCAGAGGTGGTATTCAGCAGGTTCTGACTAGTTCTGGAGAACTGTTAACAGAAATTTTGAGTAGTTCGGAGAACCGGCAAACACCACCTCTGACTGGAGATTTATAGTATTCTTACCCTGCCACACCCACAGAACTGGTAGTAAAAAAAAATTTGAATCCCACTACTGCAGGAAAGCCACCTGGGTGACCAGGACCACTCAGTGTCTCTCAGCCCAACCAACTCATAGGGGGTTTGTTGTGTGGAAGAAAGAGGAGGAAGGAATATTAAGTATGTTTGCTGCCTTCAGTGAAGCCAAGGTGGAATAAACATAAATATATGTCAAGACCATGTATCAAAACACTAAGGAAGGATGACTGCCCAGTTCTGCAAGTTTAAATTTTCTTTCGTATTTACATTTATTCCACATACATTAACTTATGTAATGATGGAAAACTTTCATTTTCCTGGAAACTATATATAATATAAACCTAACAACAATGGTGTTCTTTGCATATTGCCTATGTAAATGAGTACACATTTCAGAAGATATTGCTTATAGAAGACTGACTGGGCATCAAGAGTTATGGTGAATTTTTAACCTTCAAAAGGTATACCTACAAGAAAGATTATGCTGCATTTATAAGTACACTTAAAATAGTTCACTTAGTGACTATTCAAAGTTACAATGGCATTGAAAAATGTGACTTATGACCATTTTCCACAATTACTTTTGCAGCTTCCTCAGGATCATGTGACTGAAATTCAGATGCTTGGAAACTGGTTCATATTTATGAGCATTGCCATCTCCCAAGGTCATGTGATCACCTTTTGCGACCTTCTGACAAGCCAAGTCAATGGGGAAGCCAGTCACTTAACAACCAGATTACTAATGTACATCGATTGCGGTGATCCACCTACCAAATATGGCAAGAAAGGTTGTAAAATGGGGCAAAACTCACTTAACCAATGTCTCACTTAACAGAAATGTTGGGCTGAATTGTAGTTGTTAAGTCGAGGACTATCTGTATACATCTGAGATGGAGAAAACATTCCAGAGTGCCTTTTGAGAAAATTGGATTTGTGCAAACATAACAGGTAAAAGCACACATCACATTGCCCTTGGTAAAGCACAAATTAGCAAGTGTTTTTGCTAATAAGGTAAGATAACCTTTTTTCCCCCCCTGTGGGACTTGGCACACATTAAAAATGAAATTCTGTCGCCTGCTCTGAAAAGTGTACACATACACAACACAGATATGCTATATGCATACCTAGCCCTGACATATAAATACCTATAATATTAATCACTGTCCATCTTAAATACATAGTGGAAATTGGAAGCTTGAGAGTTCACAAGGTTTTTATTTTATTTATTTATTTATTTTGTCAATCGCTTACAAGATAACAGGTATAAGTATAAACATAGTTATGAATATATGAGGTGGATATGTATAAGGAAAATAAAAAGAAACAATAGGACAGGGACGGTAGGCACGTTGTTGCGCTTATCACGCCCCCTACAGACTTCTTAGGAAAGGGGTGAGGTCAATAGTAGACAGTCTAAGGTTAAAGTTTTTGGGGTTTGGGGAAGAAACCACAGAGTCAGGTAGAGTATTCCAGACACTGACCACTCTGTTGCTGAAGTCGTATTTCCTGCAATCAAGTTTGGTGCGGTTAACCTTGAGTTTGTATCTATTGTGTGCTCTTGTGTTGTTATGGTTGAAGCTGAAGTATTCATTGACTGGTAGGACATTGCAATGTATGACTTTATATACCATACTTAGATCAGACCGAAGGCGGCATAGTTCTAGATTTTCTAGGTCTAGAATTTCAAGTCTGGTGGCATAAGGTATTCTGCAACGAGTAGAGGAGTGGAGAACTCTTCTTGTGAAATATTTCTGGACTTTCTCAACTGTGTTGGTATTGTCTGGAACAAAACCGTGCCTCTATGGGGATGTTCTGCTTCGGATTCATAATTTCACCTTCCACACTCGATCAGCCTCTCGGGATGTCGCTTCGGTCCTTGGATTTCTTAAGCCGGACCGCGCCAGGGCCAAGACTTCGTCCGCCAATTTCCCTCCAGTACCTACCTGCGCCTCAAGCCGACCGACCCAGGGAAGGAGAAAAGAGGGGTGGGGGAGAGAATAAAGATATGCAAATAAGAAACGCCAGTGCAGCCAATCAGGAGCGAGCGGCAGGACTTTGGGGGAGCCCGCTCGTTCTCTTTGAGTCCCCCTCCGCCCACTTCCCACCCAGGGAGAGCTCCTCTCCGCTCGCCCACCGTCCACTGCCGTGATTGTGGGTGTGTGCGTGCGCACGGGGTGCCACCACCTCTCCGCTGCTGTTGCTGCCGCCGCCGCTGCTGCTGCGCGTGGCCGTCCCTCCCTCCCTCCCTCCCTCCTCTCTGTCCGCTCCGCGCCCGGCTTCTCCCCCAAAGCAAGTTGCGCCTTCTCCTCTCACACGGTTCCTTGGGCTTCCTTCAGCCAGTCTGCCCTCTTCAGTTGACCTCTGCTGGCATGGCTGCCGCCTGACTCGGCCCCCTGAGGTGGCTTCCCTTGTCGGGGCTTCAGCTTTCACTCTGCTCGGGAACCGGAGCGGAGAGGCTCAGGGTTGGTGCCACTGCGGAGCTGCTCTTGCTGTTGCTGCTGCTGCTGCTGCTAAGTGGCTTGCCGAGCCCGCTATTTTCTCCGCTCTCCTCCCACAAACTGAAGGAAGGCTTTGCAGGCTCGGCGTCTTGCGCGAGCAGCTTTTTTTCTCCCCCCCCCCCTCGGTTTTTGCAAAGTTCCTCAAAGAAAAGTTCCAGGAGAGCAAAAAAAAAAAGGGAGGGGGGGTGCTTTGGTCGCTCCCCTTGCCCACCTCCGCGGCGTGGATGGAGACCAAAAGAGAAAGGCGGCTGAGCCACCTTTGCTGCATCTTTTATCAGCTGTGCTTCCTGTCAGATCGGATCACTTCAGGTGAGTCCCCAGTGCTTCGTTTTGAATGGTGTTTGCTTAATAATCGGAACCTTTCCGGGCGATTGCCAAGAGTCTTGCCCAAGGTAATCAGGAACCGTAGTGACACAAAGGGGTCGTGGCAGAGATATATCATTATTGATAGGTCGTAGGAGTAGAGGGTCTGAAAGAAATATACAGTTCAGTGCAGTGTTGCTGAACGGTATCTACCTGTCCATCTATCAAATACTGACACGCTGCTAGGGGAAGATATAATTAATAAGACACCCTTCACAAGCTCAGAAATAATTTGCCCGCAGCTTGAGAATGCTGTGATATTGAACAGTACATTTAGGTTTAACTTCTTTTCTTCAAAATGACTGCCAAAGTATTCTCTAGGTTCAAACAACCTTCAGCAGCATCTTGGCAGGACATGTTTTACAAGTCTCCATTTCTCCAGAGTGTAATCAGGCTAAATATCTTCTTATTCCATGTGAAGGAACTACTTGATTCACATCTGCATGAGAATGGCTATGAAGTTTTAGTTCTCATACACACCAAATAAATGGATGTATGTATGTATGTGTTTATCTGTTATTTTGATAAATAACTCAAAGTGGCAAAAATTGTCCATTAAAGATTAAATACACCCCAAAAGCCTGTGACATTCGAAATATACAGTATTTGTATATTGATATATTAGATTAATTTCTTTCTGTTTGCCAATCTTATTTGCCTTTGCTAGAAGCAAAGCTAAGTCTCCTTTGCCTTTGCTGAAGAAACAGATGATATCTTATTTTGAGCCAATACTCTCTGATTTAAAATATAGAATGACTAAGGTCAAATGTCAATAAACTGTATTATTTCTTTAGGACTGTTCCAATATCAGCAAGAGAATAATTTTTCTACCTTTATAGCTGTTTGCAGTGCGCAAATATTTTCATGAGGTTATTTCAGATTTTTTTTTATTTCTTAAGCTCTTCAAATATTAAACATCAAAGATTTGCACACAGAACATCTTTCTTTTTGTACACAAATACACAATTTACAGAAGTTTCAGGTCACTAAATATTTTTGTACGGAATGTACAACAAATTAATGTTCTGAATTATAAATTTATAACCTAATTTTATAATATGAAATGTGCCGTGTCCCACTCTATTTATATATAGGATGCTTCAGAATGTCTACTGTCATTTGTATTCTTACTGAATTCTTATTGGCTAATCACTGAAATACTTTAATTTAGGATTGGGGCATACAACAAAAGATTATAGGTTTTTTTACCCATAATCCTAATCTATGTAGGATGCTTGTTTCAGTAAAACAAATAAAGGTTTGAGTAAATCAATTTTCCCTTCCTTCTTACTCCTTTCCCTTCCATCAGGTGGCATCTAAACCTTTTATTAGCCCTAAAGCTCCCAGAGATGCTTGGCAAATATTTTTGTGGTCTCTGCCTTTTAAATGACAAATTTGTGCAGTTCCTTGATAATGTCGAAAAAACTCCTGGGAGTTCAGCCACTTAAACCTATAACGACTATCCTTATGCTGGAGATGCTTAGATTGCAAGGGATTCTATTTCTGATGATACTGGAGAGATTTGGACTGACCAGTTAGTTGGAACTTCTAACAGCCTTTCCCAGTCTAGTATGGATGGTGGTCTGTAAATCTCAGCCAGCAACATAGTTTAGGGGACATCACATTGGGAAAGGCTACTGTTCCTTACCACATTATTTCACTAAAATTGTTCAAATGGGTAAGATGAGATGCCTATCTTTTAATTCAGTTTGAAGTTTTGGATACTTTTCAAGCTTTATTTACAGATTTCTAAAAATATACCTTTGTATTGAAACAGGGATACATTGTATAAACAAACAAATAAAAAACTTTAACACAATATTGAATGTGTGTGTGTGTGTGTGTGTGTGTGTGTGTGTGTGTATAAATATATAAATAAGAGAAACAGACATTAGTATTCAGCAGGATTTTTGTATATATATGTGCACATATGTAATTGTGTATGTGTATACATACATAGCCGCTCGTCTCACCAATTCTACTCTAGGCAGCTAACAAAAACTAAAATATAAATACAACATATGTGTAAAAATAGAATTTCCAGCCAACTAATACAAAGCAGCTCCCCAAAACACTACATTATTTTTTCTTGCAGTGGGAAACTGATTTTGTATTGGTAATATCAGTATGGATCAATGCTGTTATGTCATTTTAATGTATCAAAATTATGCTGATGGGCCCTAAATCTGGCATCCATTTATGGCAACTCTTACAGTTGGGAGTAATATAGAGTGTGTAGATTTCAGTCTATGTGAATTTTTGCAGGTCTGCAACCTCTGGGAGATTTTGAAGAGTGGGAGATTGTTTACCCAGCCCTGTGGAGTAGAAGCCAGCAGGAATCCACTGGAGGGAATGGTGCAGGAGGCAGCTGCAGTCTTGATGGTAACTGTGGGAACAGCAGCAGCAATGTTAATGCTACCTCTGCATCCACTCAGGGAGTGGGCAGTTCTCGTGAGATCCGCTCAGTTTCCTCCTCATCTGACCACCAGCACCAGCAGCTGCCAGTTTGGAAAACTTCAGAGGATGAATATGAATCTCAGGATTTCTATCACTGGTCTCCACTTCCTCAGGGATCTAATGGTACTTCTCAGCAACCATCTCATCCATCTGTATCTCCTCCAGAAGATGAAGATGAAATGTTGCTGAGAATACCAGCTTTCGCTCAGGAGCTCTATTTGCTGCTTAAGAGGGACAGTCGCTTCTTAGCACCAGGTTTTGCAGTGGAGGAACGACTATTGAATGAAAAAGGTACCCCAAATTTGATCCACACACAAACAGAGAGATCCTGTTACTATAGTGGGTCTGTGCTGCATTATCCTGGATCCTTTGCTTCCTTTAGCACTTGTGGTGGTTTGGTGAGTATTTTTTCCCCTTTCACCTGTATTTTATCTGCTCTTTGCAGTAAAATTTACTTCCCACTGTCTGTCTCTGCTTTTTTTCATAACACTTCCTTGTTACCTCATTTATTATTTACTTTAATTTTTCTTTGCCATTTTCTTTTTCAGTGTTCAAAGCTCTGTAACCATTAAAATAAGGAAATCACTTCCTCCTCATTTTAAATTTAAGACATAGTTTTGTAATTGTTAGTTTCATCTGCACTATTATAAACACACAGAAGTTCTTGATTTGAACCTTACCCATTTTAATGTTAAATCCATTGAATGAGCAATATCAAATAAACATTTGTTTTGTGCCTTTGAGTTAATGTTGAGTCCTGGTGGACAAATTTGTACAATTTTCTTGCCAATGTTTTCAGAAGTTATTTGCCATTGCTAGCTTACTAGGGCAAGCTTACTAGAAAAAGAGTGCTTAGCTCAGAGTCATCCAGGTGGTTTTGTGTCTAAGGTGGAGTTAGAACTCATAGTGTTCCAGTTTCTAGCCTCGTGCTTTAAGTACTACACAAACTGCCTCTCATCAAATAATCATAGATAGTAGTTATTCCTTTTAAACATTTGTAGGTGTTTACGTTCATGTACTTTTTATGCTCAAGTTTGTTTTTACTTTAATGGTATACTTTAATGATCATTTAATGATACAATATGAAGATCTGATTTATTTTCCATTAGTTCCATCACTGTAAAAAGATTAAAGTGGACCTTTAGCCTGAACGTATGCTTATGGATGTTTTAAGTTTTCTGATCAAACTTTCTGGAACAATCTTTCTCAATCTGCTTCTTTCCAGGTCTATAATTATCACAAACTGTATCACTCATAGGATGAGAACATCTATTCCAGCACATTACATTTCTAGGTGTGTTTTGAAGCACTCAATCAGGGCATAAAGCAGGATGTCTAGTTCCTTTAGTTCAAGGCTGTCAAACTCATGGCCCGTGGGCTGGATGTGCTGGCTATGCCCACACTCAGTTTAGCAAAGGGGAAAAAAGTCCCAATACGTTACGTGATGCCGCCATGACAATGCGGCACCCCTGCTTTAGTTTGTATCTGGTATCTGATGTTCAAACTCAGCCTCATAGGTGTTCCAGTGATTTCCACAATATAGCATAGATTAACGTGTTTTCAACATGTTGGCATGGTTACAGTTGCTTCGAACTATGTTGCAAGAAATTTACAGAAAATGGCTTGTTGTCCTAATAGTTGGATTTTAGAAAATCACATGCCCATTGTATTGCACATCTAAAAGAGTTAGATCAGATATTAGCAGATATAAGCTACATGGATATAAATGTGCATATTAGTTTTTCCCAACTTGGTGTCTTTCATCCTTGCAGTAAAGCTATGGACACTACAGAAGCCATAGTGTAATACTTCTGGAGAACACTAGGGTTGGGGAAACTGATTTGCATGAATATGACCTCAGAAAACCCATCCTGAGAAATTATTTGCATGAGAACCAGTTAATATGGGTAATTCTGACTTTTTCCTGAAGGCAGGGAAATACACTGCTTGAGCAATACACACATTAAGTTTCTCTTTATTTTTCTTTATTTTTTTAATTATATACATTATTGAGAAGTACTGACACTCTTTTTTGTTTGTATAGCTGCTTAAACTCAGTAATCACAATTATCCAAGTATTTATCCATGCTACTTTTCTTTAATTGAAGATTACCTTTTAAGTACATGTCATAAACTAATATAATGTAAAGATTCTCTATTGTATTAGCCAATTATTTATTAATATTCTTCTCCTTTAGATATAAAGCTGAATTAGATGTGATAAATAATGTGTACCATATTCTGCCAGCTTCTATTCTTACTTTTAAGTCTAGGGATACTACATTTGAGGTTAAGAATGTGGGCTGGGAATGTTTAACCTTCCATCAGCGCCTGCTTTTCACATCAAATTTGCTCTTATGTTATTAGTACAAGGGGGGATGGCTGAGAAGGTAAGAGTTAACTGTGCTTATTAAAACCTTTAAATTAAGATGGATGGATTTGATTTCTTAATTTTCTTAAAATTTCTAGTCTGGATATAATGAGAAACTGTTATTAAAGCTTTTGGTCTTCTAATGATCAACTAGGGTAGAAAGCTTATCAATCTAAAGCTCTTGTACTTAACACTAAACTGTGCTTATATGTAAGGCAAGATACTGTGGGATTCTGTGACCACTTTCATGTGCTCTGGAATCCTGGTTTCATGATAGATTTTTGGTGCTGGCAGACATTTTTAATATGATTTTAGCAGATTTAAGGAAAATTAGAATTAGATCCAATGACAATAGTATAGGTTCTTTGACTGCATGAAGTGTAAAGGTAAGTAGATAGAATGGCTAAAATCCTAGGAACAGAAGAGATGCAAAATTATGGATTGATTTTAAAAAAAGCAGTTACTGTTTCTATTTAGGCTTATTAATGTAAAGCTATATAGAATAAGGATGTTGCTGACAGTGGCTTTGAGCCTGAAGTGAGCCAATAGTATTTAAAATGAACATTTCCTGCTCCTTGTGGTTTGCTGGATGTAATCTGTGGAATAAAGCTATAGCTATGAAGACATCATTGGCTTGTATTTCAGAATTAGGTTTCTCCAAAGAACATTGAATATAGCTTGCCAATATTTTGTGGGAACTGAGTTATTTCAATTTATTCTTACTAAGTCTTGTGGAGTTGCCAGATTTGATAAAGTTTATAAAGAGAATCAGATAAAATGTAGACCTGTGGTTTAGTTAGGTTGTTTAGATTCATACTATTTAGTTTGGGGAGAAAAATATACTAATATCATTCAAACCTGTGGAATGCAGTTTATAATTTGAGTGCATTTGTACACGGGGCCTTTTTTTGAGGTTTTCAAGAATATGGATAGAGTGCTATACAAGACCAAAACACCTTATGCTTTGTTCTAGTTATGTACAAAAATTTATAAATTTAGGCTTTCATTCAAAGTGGATGACCCTGAGTCCTTCTAGAATGGATAACAAATTTCTCATTGTCAGTTTCATTTGACTTGAGAGATTTTAAATGTAGGGAGGGTTGTGCTGGCTTCATAGAATCATTTCACTAACATTCCCCTTAATGTTTTCTTCAACTTTAAGCTGAAAATTACATCATTGAGAAATTATCATTTTATTGCTAAATTGCATCAAGATGATCAAGAGTTGTTGGAGGAGCTGCAAATGTCCCACAAATTGCAGTTTTCCCAGATGTGTTAAAGAAGTACTAGATTGGACATTTTTATGTGCTATCATATTTGTTGGTGTTGTTTATGACAATAGAGATCCACATGAGAAGTTATTTCCTGATCTAATTTAATATTTCCTGATCTAATTTAATGTCTTGATTTTGCTTTTATCCAGATTTCTTTCCTACTGAAAATGAGATGGATGCATTTCAAGTTCTCTTAAATATGTTGAGGTATAGCACATGTTATTATAGATTGTGTCTAAAGATGGTCAAAACATATCTTGACATTCTAATCTCAACTAGTTTAAGAATATATTTTCTACTAAAATAAAGAACATAAAATATAATACATTGATCAAAAGAACAGAACAAATACCATCTCTGGCTATAAAAGAGGATTAAATAAATATGCAATATCCAGGGATTATTAAAAGATTATCTAGGGATAATCCATTAAAAGTATTATCCAGGGATTATAAAAAGATGAAATTGTTTCTCTGTCCAACATTAGTAATCCTTTAGAGGAACTGCTTTTTCTTAGAATGGTAAATATTGGCATATAATTTTAATGGAAACTTCTGCAGTTGTAAAAATTCCAAGGCAAAACTTTGTTCATAAGGGCATGGAAATTGAATGAGCTATCTTTTTTACTGAAAGGCCAGAGAGTTCAAAAGTCTTTTTCTTTGTTTACTTTAATTTATGACTTGTTTAAGTTCAGATAGATATGTTTAGACAGGCATTACTAGATTTACCTCAAAAAGGGTAGGTATATGGATTTCAATAGAAATATCAATGGAAACAGAAACAGATTTATCTTGCCTGTAAGTTCAGGGAATAACTTTGAGGATCTAAAGTGACACAGATGTAAACTTTATTGCTTACTGAGAGTTGAATTGATTTAGCATAACGTCTAGCATTATCATTAAATATATAAAACACATAAATTCACATTTCCATTTGCCATCATTTGTTTCAGTTTGTATATCAGAATAGATAATTACATAGAATCAGTTTTTAAGTACAGTGACTCAAGAAGCAGGCAATGCAAATTAAACAAGTTTACAAGATTGCAATAAAAAAAGGAATACAGTAGAACCTCTGGTCACAACAATTTGTTCCATAACTTTGGTGATTTCTTCATCTTCTAATGTTTCATCTTCAGGAATTTCTGAGCCAGGGCTCACTATCCGAGTATGTGTTCATGACCAGATTCAAAAATTTTATGAATTTTTTGGTCGGAACCAGATTTGGTCGTGGTCAAAAATGTTCATTACCAGAGATTCTACTGTATAATGAAATGAGAAAGGACACAAAAAGAAAGAAGAAATCAAAACGATTGGAAATGATTTGATAAAAATTAATGAGTTTTCATTTAACACTCAGGCACATGATGAGAATTGGCTGTAAAAGCGTCTACTATAGATCAAAAAGCATAGACAGAGGGCATACATGTTCAAAGAGAAAGCGAGAGCAGAAGCCAAAATAATGTATATATTTAAAAAATAGGAAAGGATGTGTGAAATAAATGGGATCAATAAAATGTCAATTTGAATTATGAGCCATGAAAACATATGCAATATCTTTTGTAAAGTACAAAAAAATACCATTCCTTGCTTTATTTGTGAACAATTGATATAGCTACATCTTAAGAGAGGCTAAGTAAGAACATGGGGAAAAAGTTTTGGAACAAGAATATGTATGTTCAGTTGTGCCTCCTTCTCTCTCTGTGTGTGTGTATGTATATGGACAAAGGAGTCAGTGATAAGGAGGAAGAGCA